TATATATATATATATATATATATAAATTTATATATATATTATATATCTATATATATATTGTACATTCATATATATATTTTTAGAATAACACTATATGTATAAAAAGATCTCTTAGTGAATTAAAACAAGATATTTCTACTGTTTAAAAAAAAACGTAAGTAAGTAGATATTAATAATATCTATTATAGAATTAAGTTCTTAATAATGGAAGTTATACAAGCCGCTTTTTTAATAAAATAAATAATTTTGGAATTGAATCTCCTTCTAATGAAAATAATGTTTTAAGATCTTAATCTTAATAAATACATAAAACTAATGATTAAGTTTAATTTTATTAATTTTATTTATTATTTATTTAATTATTTATTTTTTTAGAGAAAGAAATTCATTTAAAAAAGTGATTTAGAAGATAATTAATAAAATAATATTAGATAATAATAAAATCATGTATAATCTAGTCATTAAAAAAAAAGGATTTTAGATGATTAAAAATAAATAACAGTTAAATAATTTTTATATATATAATTATTAACATTATATAATTTATTTTAAATATATTATATTTATATGCATAAATAATTTATTTCTATATAAAGACAAAAGGTCATAATATAAAACTTTTTAATCAAGAAAACTTTTTATCAGAATAAGAAAGAATATAATATTTAATAAATGAAAAGTTAAAAATAAAATAAGCTTTATTATCTAAAGATTAATAAAAGATTCGACAATAAAAAATATTAAATTAAAAGTAGTTAAATATTAAATTAAATAAAAATAAATTAAATTAAATATATATATATATATTATATATTAATATATATATTTTATATATATAATATTAAATAGTTTAATAAGAAGAAATAGTTTCTAAACTGATGAAATAAATTAACAAAAAAAATTTTAAAGAATAAATTCTTTAAATATTTAAGAAAAAAAAGTCTTTAAATTCTTAAGTAAAACTGGAAAAATAATCTATATGAATTAAAATGGATAAGAAATCGAATATATAGAAGGAATGTCTTAAATATCATTTAATGATGAGTAAATCATGCATGAAATAACCAGCAAAAATACTAATATTAATAAATAAAAGAAAATGAAAAAAAAACCTAAAAAAAACTCACAAGATATAACAGAATACACGTCTGTAAGTACTGAAAATTCATCTTTTTTGGAATAAATTGAGATCGAAGTGACTGATTCTTAATATAATTCAGCAGACTAATTAACTGAATATGATGAAGATGGTAATAAAATACCCAAAAAGAAGAAAATGAAGAAAAAAATAATCACTATTAAGAAAGATAAAGACGGAAATATATAAATACAACCTGATTTAGATGAAAAAACAGATCAAAATGTTTATTTTAAAGTAAATAAAGACGGTAAAATAGTAAAAATAAGGCGAGTTTTAAATGAAGATGGTACATTTTAAGAAACAGAGGAAAAAGTGGAACAAAGAGTTGTTTTTCAAGAAAAAAAGAAGAAAAAGAAATATATATAAAAAATACTAGCAGATGGAACAGTAATTTAAGTGGAAGTTTTATCAGAAAAAGACTCGTTAAATACTGAAAATATGAGCATTATTTTAAGTGATGAAGACCCGGAAAATCCATTGACTCCCAGAAGTAGGTAAAGGAGAATTTTAGAGAAAAAAAAAGAGAAAAAAAAAGAAATTTTAAAAGAAAAAGGTATATATATAAGCTAAAAGAAGAAAATTATTAAACGATATATGAAAGAAAATGGAGAGTTTGTAGATATAGAGGTTGAAGTTAGTGATTATGAAGGAGGGGAGTAATTATTTGTTTATAATGAAAAGGGAGAATTGATATTAGAAAAATTTATTCCAAATGAAAATAATGAATAGGTTTAGAAATAAATTAGGGAAATGGCTAATAATTTTAAAAAATAATAATAATAAAAAAAGGATAATGGTTTTTAAGAAGATGATGATAAATTTTAAAATTATGATGGAAATAAAAAAAAAAATAGTCAATAAAAATAGTAATTAGAAAATAATAAGATAAAAAAAAATTCATTTTAATAATTATAAATAATATTGTAGTAATAAAAATAATAATAATAATAATAATAATAATAATAATAATAATAATAATAATAATAATAATAATAATAATAATAATAATACATTTATAATAATAATATAATGAAAATAATTAAAATTAAAAAATTAAAAAAATAAAGTTAAGATAGTTATTAAAAATTACAAAATTCATAAAAATTATAAAATTAAAAATAATAATACAAAATAACCAATAATAAAGAAAAAATTAATAATAATAAAAAAATACTTAAAATAATAGATGGAAATCTAGTAGAAATTACAGATTCAGATAGTTCTTTAAATTCATCTTAAATTCCTGAATCATTTCAAAATGATAATATATCTATTGAGTAAATATATATATATATATTTATATTGATATAATTATTTAGTTCATCTGAATTTAATAAATTATCATAAGATCATAAAAAAATATATAATAATTTAAAAAAAAAACGCTAATAAGAACGACTTAAAGTTATATAAATGAAAGATCCAAAATATATTGGTAAGTTAATATAAAATATTGTAATTAAATTATCAGAAAATCTTTCTATATAAGAACTTAAAAAAATTATTGAACATTATATTAATATTTTTAAATAATAACCTCATATGGATGAAGAAACTAGAAATAATATTTTTATATGTATTTTTTTATAAATTTAATTATATTGAATATTAAAAATAGATTTATAGTAAAAAGAATAAATAATAAAATACCTTGAATAATTTTAAAGAAACTTCGAAAATAATATTTTAATGAGACCTGATATAATGACGGAAATAACACAATTTTTTAAATAAAAAAATATTCATTATAGACTTGAAAATGATAAAGTATTTTTTTTATAAAAATTAATATTATAATTATATATATATATTAATATATATATATATATATATATATATATATATATATATATATATAAATACATATAGAAATTAAAATTTTCTGCCTAAGTTTTAACTCCTGAAGGAAATGGACTTTCGTTATTTGAGGAATTTAAAGGCTTAAATATATCTGAATGGGAAATTTAATAAATTATTAAATATGCTTCATATAATTAAGATATAAATAAAATAATGGAAAGACTTTTAACTTTTAAAGAAGATGGTCTGTTTTTAAAAAAACTTAAGGAATTTTTAAAAAATATGGAATGCTTAATAATTTAAACTAATTTAGATTATTTAAAAGGTGGAGATTTAGATGGCTAAAAATAAGAAATTAACAAAAATAAGAAAAATTTGCTTATAAATACACCTAATTAATTTTTATAAAATTCTGATAAATCTAAATTTTCTCAATATTTATAATCATTGAAAATTTATAAAAAGAAAAATCCAGACAAATTCAAAGATTTAATTTTTTAATTCCAAAGTGTAAAAGAAGACGATGAAAAGAACATTTTAAAAGCACTTAATTTCAATTTGGCATAAAAGTCTGATTTTTCATAAATTTAAAACGAAAAAATAGGATAGATAATATGGAAAAAAAGACTATAATAACCTCATAATGATAAAGTTATATTAAAAACATTTTATAATAATAAATTATTATGAAAAGATATATTTTTTAAAAAATATTAACATTTCTTATTATATAAAATTTTAAAATAAAATATATATTTTTCCCCCTTTTTTTTTTTTTTTAAAAAAAAAATGCATTTATATATATAAAAATTAACTTTAATATTTTTTTTTAGATAATTAGAAAAAAATTAATCTTTTTTCAAAAAATCTCTGTTTTTGTAATTCTATAGAAATTTTAATATATTCTATAACTATTTTTACTAATTTTTATTTTATACTTTCATTTAAAATAATAAGGCGTTTTTAACAACTTTTTATAAATCCAAAATCATATATATATTTATATAATGCAATCTCCAAAAAAAATATAAAAAAAATTATATAATAATTTAAACAATATAATAGTATAATAATTCTCATATAATATTGCTTTAATGGTCATAATAATCAGATATAAAGTTAAATTTATATTTTATATTTTATTTTTTAGCATAATTAATTTTATTTTTTCTGTATTTTTTTTTTAAAAAAAAAAAAAACTATATACAAATAAAAAGAGCTATAATACATTTTATTAAATCTGAGTTTTTTATTAAAATATATTGTTAAAAAAGTAATTAATAATTATCAGTTTAATAATATTGATAGTGTAATTTTTAATATACAATATAAAATATATATATATTTAAATATTTATATAAATTTAATTTTTTTGTTATAAATAATTTGATATAGTATTAACAAAAAAATATTTTATTAATATTTATTTTGAAAATCTTTAAATACATGTCTTTGATATGCTTTAAATATTTTTTATACTAGTGTTTTTCATTAATATAGGAACTTTTATATGTGTTTTTAATTAATTAATTTTTATAAAATTGATAATTTAATTGATGTTTTTTACAAAAAAATTATATTTTATTTTTTATTCGTTAAGTATATAATAAATTATTATTATTTTTTATTTATTTGAAATATTTTAAATATATTTTAAAGTATTTTTTATTTATATTATAATTAACATTTAATTTTGTATAATATTATTTATTATATTATATTAAATAAAATAAAATCATAATTGTTATTTTTTATAAATATATTTATAATTTAATTAATATGTTTATAAAATTTATATTAACTTATAATAAATAATATTTTTTATTTATATTAATGATTTAAATATATATATTTTTTTTTTTCCATTTTTTTTTAATTATTTAATAATAACCAAATTATTATTTATTTTATTTAAAATACTGTAATAATATATAATAAATTAATATAAAATACATAAATCAATTATATATAAACCTTAAATAATAATAATTATATATATATATATATATATATATATATATATATATATATATATATTATAACTTTAAAAAAGTGAAAAATGTCATATCAATATTTATTTAAATACATAATAATTGGAGATACTGTAAAATTATACATTAAAAATAAAATTAAATTAAAATTTTAGGGAGTTGGCAAATCAAGTTTATTATTAAAATTTATAAAAGATTAATTTAAAGATTAACATGAAATTACAGTCGGAGTAGAATTCGGTTCTAAAAATATTAGAATTAATAATATAAATGTTAAATTATAAATATGGGATACTGCGGGATAAGAAGATTTTAAATGTATAATACGTTCATATTATCGCTCAAGTGCGGGTTCATTAATAGTATATGATATTACTAGGTATCTATTAATTCAATTTATAGTATAAATATTAATTTAAAAGACGAGAAACGTTTTAAAATATAGTAAATTGGTTAAATGAAGCAAGAGAAAATGGTAATAGTTAAATGGTTTATATGTTAATTGGCAATAAATGTGATTTAGAAACTTAAAGGTAAGTTAGCTATGAAGAAGGTAAAGAATTAGCCTTATCAAATGATATGCTATATATAGAAACTTCAGCAAAAACATAATAAAATGTCGAATAGGTATATTTATTTAGAAAAGTAATTATATGTATATACTTGTTTTTTTGTTTTGTTTTGTTTTGTTTTGATTTTTTTTTTCTTTAAAAAAATATATAAAAAATAAAGGTTTTTTCTTAAACTGCCTATTTAATTTTAGAAAAAATATAAAATGGTAATATAGATCCAACTAATCTTAATAATGGGATTAAAATTGGATAAGAAATATAAGGAAATTAGGGAAATGGGGATGGTTTTAAATTAATTAATAATAATTAAAATGAAAATAAAAGCGAGAAATAAAAAAATTGTTGTTGAATATAAATATATATATATATATATATATATATATATATATATATTTAAATATATATATATATATGTATTTTTTTCATTTTTTTTTAATGTTTATATATTTTTATTTTATTTGGGTTTAAATTTTTTTTATTTTTTTTATTACTAAAATTTTTTTAAATATTTTATATTATATAAATATGAAAAAAAATTATTATTTTATATTTTTATTTTTTGTTATTATATATATATAAATAAAATCAAATATATTATAAATATTTTTAAATATATTATATTCTTATAATTAATTAAAACATATTAAAAACAAATTATATTTATATTTATATATTTTTTTTATTAAATAATTGTTTTTTTTTTTTTTCTTTTTGAAATTAAAATTACATTTCAAATTTTATTTTGTTTTCATTAAA